TATCTCAGATGGATATCTGTTAATTTCTACTACCCTAAGAATGACAAATAGGAGAAGACGAAGAAAGCTGTAAAACTCAAGTTTCGAAGTCGTGTGATTATAAGTGATATGATTATGAACAATAAATTTTGTTCGAAACGCTGTCATCCACCAGTAAATATTACTGTTTCAATACTGTGTGGTACATCTAATAAGCAAACTAATGTGGAATTACTTACTACCACAGTGCCCAAGTTTTACACATGTATTTATATGATCTTGTCGTCTGTTAATATGATCGAGTGGAATTAAACGTCGTGGGTGTAATAACACTGAACTCACTGGACAATACGGTTATTCATTATAACTACCTTCTGCTTCACTGAGTCAGGTAAACACCCAAACCCACTACCACTACCCCAAAAAAGACAGACTGCCTATTTGACTGTTGTTAGGATACGCGGACTTCTATGCTGAATGAAAAACACGCCATAGTTATGCCTCTTTTTAGCTAGATTAAATTTCGGCTAGTTCATCAGAGGAAAATAGAATATTTTGATTGGTTGGTGATCGACCAGAGGTTAGACAATGAATAAGTCAGGAAGTTGTCCAACGTTGTTATTTCATGTCCATATCATAAATACTAGATCTAGATTTGAGAAAGAATAATAAACGCCTCTACTTCTACAAGCAACCAGCTAACCAGACAGCCAACCTATTCACATAAAATGTTGATTTCACTTTTGGCTACTTCGTATCAAATTTGGTAGATTAGTGTTGTGTTCTGCTTTTTGTCATTGACTTGCATGAGAACTCTACAATTATTTGGTTATTTTGGTATACGAATAAAACTTGTGCACCGTGGTAAAGTATAATTACATTATGGGTAAAATTTGTTTTGATAAAGTCTCACAGTGTTGTTGTTATACAGTAATACTTAGTGATGACCATATTTCGAGCACAATTTATTGTTGCTCATAATCATATCACGATACTACTCACACAACTTTCTAACATAGTTTATGTGATTCCATTATTTTTCATCGCTTGATTTGTTTGGTAGTAGTATTTTCTATATTTGCGTGTGTTGGGTGTAGACTTGATGATCAATCTCTCTCTCCACCTACGTAGACTACTTTTCAGAATTTTAACACTCTTCCACTCTGTTGTGTGGTTGTGTGTTAATGCATGCAGTGCAATGTAGTGCTGAACTTTTTTCTAAATTACTGATCTTCTCTTGGTCAACCATTCTTACCTTAGCCAAATTCTTATGTTCCGACAGTCTGACTTCCCTCGACCTGCTAGTTTGACCTATGTAGTTGACTTAACTCACAGTCATTGCTAGGTATTTTATAAATTATATTATTTTGTTTAATTGGGTTAACTGGGTCCTTTGAGCTACAAAGCTTGTCCCTGAGTTAGTTTGTAGGTCTAAATGCCACGATGTGTGAGTACCTTGATATGATTATGAGTGGAAATAAATTGTGCTCGAAACGTGGTCATCAGTAAATATTACTTTGTAACAGTACTGTGAGACTTTATCAAAATAAATTTTGCCCATAATGGTATTTGGCTATTTATCATAATGTAATGAGTAACTTAAATTACAAGTATATTATCTGTAAATTGTTTAGTTGTGTGATTCATGATCCGGTGTAGTCAACTCAACTGGTTTATTTTTATGTATTATGCTCGTATAATGCCTGACTGACTGACTGTACGACTTAATTGCACATACATTATATGGTGACTAATTGTATATCTCATTTGTGTAATGGTAATTACTATATATCAGGTTATGAAGTTAAACAATACAACACTGATGTTGTTTTGTTGGATAGTGAGTGACTCTAATGGAAGTCATGCGAGCTTCCGAGCTAGGAGTCGGTAGATCAACAGAAGCCGAACATTTTGGTTCAATCGATCATCGTGAAAAATAAAATAGAAATTGTCCCAAACAAAATGCAACACTAATTTATCGCGGTAAGCATAAAGAAAACGGACCACGCCTGAAGTGTGGGCGGTAAACCTTGGAAGCGACCAATGAGCAAGAGGCCTGTTTTCGGCATGAAAAAGCCATTTATTTAGTAGAAAGACACCTTAAAGAGGATGAGGGTTATTAGATTTTAAGTTTCTGTACATATGCTCATCAAGATGACTAGAAATGATATTTTTCTTGTGAGCCATTTATCGCTCGAATCCTGTTCTTCAGCCTTCCCCAAAAGCCTTTGGTTGAATTAATATAAATTTCAGTGTTATGAGGTTGATAAGGTCATCTCAATAGTTCACACGATAATAGATAAAACCCAAGTCTCATAGCTACCTGTATCCTGCCAATTCGTCTTTATGAATTATGCTACCCAGAATTACTAACCACGGTATAATAAGTAGAAGAGAGTCTTCGCATTACGACTTGGAATGACTCCCACAATTGCTTTATCACATGTTATTCGCCTTAGGACGAATGCGGTTGTACTTCCTCTTACCCAAGACAGTCTCACCTCTATGAACAACAACTCTCCTTCCAAAATCTGCGTGGCGATATTATTCTCACACGACTCTATGCCTTTATAATTCTGATACCATTGCATAGTAGAAATCGAGGAATCTCCGGTCTGCGCAACTGAGGGTTGTCCCCTTAGCTATTAATCCATCATCCAAAGAGAACTTAACAACAAATCCGGATTAAATTTACGCATCATTTCGTGCACAGTGTTCACAATGATCCTAGGTTTTGTAATCCAACGAACGTGTGGCGTGCAAGGTCATTGTTGCTTTCGCAATCTATGGTCGCTATTCTTTAAGCTTGTATTTATCACATACTTTATTTACAATTGAAATATCTGTCCGAAACATCTGACTTCAATTATATATTCGTCATTATTTTGTTGAGTACCTTGATGTATTTTTCTCAGATGTTCATTAATCCACTGTATCGTGGTGTACTTCCACCAGATTAGCACTACGTGATACGCTTTAAAAGGTTATCTAAGAACTCTAAACTATAGCGATCCAAATAAATAACCATGATTATAACATCTGGTAAATCTATATCATCATGAGCTGACATCAGTTAGAGAACCACTGGAAAACCTGGGAGTACTGGACAGCTGTTTGTCCTCGTTTGGGATTCCTCATCAGTACGCACCCACAGGGGTGCGAACCCCAGGACCGCCTGATTACAAGGCGAGCTCGTAGACCATTGAGTCACTGGGACCCGATCCAATGGTCCATGAATTCTAACTTCTGCCAGTTCACGACCTAGCGCGACCAATTCCCAATGTCTTCTTCGATGAGTTACTGCCTCATCTTCAACTTGCTGTACCCTACTGGTGACGGCTTCCCACTAGAACCCCAGGTTAACTACCTGAATAGGCCAGTCACTTGTGGTCCTCTAACTGATATCAGCTCATGATGAAATCCTCCATGCAATCAAACAAAATCCCTACAAAACCAATACTTGAAAATTAATCTGATGCTCACTAGTGACTGGCCTATTCAGGTAGTTAACCTGGGGTTCTAGTGGGAAGCCGTCACCAGTAGGGTACAGCAAGTTGAAGATGAGGCAGTAACTCATCGAAGAAGACATTGGGAATTGGTCGCGCTAGGTCGTGAACTGGCAGAAGTTAGAATTCATGGACCATTGGATCGGGTCCCAGTGACTCAATGGTCTACGAGCTCGCCTTGTAATCAGGCGGTCCTGGGGTTCGCACCCCTGTGGGTGCGTACTGATGAGGAATCCCAAACGAGGACAAACAGCTGTCCAGTACTCCCAGGTTTTCCAGTGGTTCTCTAACTGATGTCAGCTCATGATTAAATCCTCCATATAATCAAACAAAATCCCTACAAAACCAATACTTGAAAATCTATGAACCAATCAGATGAGTCCAAAGTAAAAGCTCTTAATTTGAATTTTTTATAGAAATCTAACGTGATGTTTAAAAAGTAGTTATACTGATTAACTTTCTTGTATATATGTTCCAAGAAAACCTCCCGTTTCCTTACTAGAGTCTTTATTGACAGACCAAACCAATCTCCGTACATAAATTCATCCAGATAAAAGTGTATATCACTCTGTTTGGTGACAATTTCACTGTTTTCTGCAATGACAGACTGAACACCCATAAACATACTGTTATGTACTGGTCGAGAATTTTATAGTCCTGACGCAAGAAAGACGGAAATCAGAAGATCACTAGGTTTTCGATGATACTTCTATTTTCCAAACACAAGGAGAATCAATATGTCACACAAGAGTGTGAGAGCGAAATGTATGAATGTCCGAACAAGTGTGTGAGCGAATATTCAAAATGAACAAATCAATAGACAGTCTTAACATGATTGGCTAATTATGATGGAATATCGATCCATATATACATAACAGACAGCAAAATATATCAGACTGTCAAACAAACACACATATTATATGGATACATATCCACATCGACGTCATATCTCTGTACAGGCATTACTCGTACGTGTTTTTTCCCTTCCTATGAGCTATGTAATTCTTGTACTCCATCCGTAATTCTGTGTATTTACCATGGCCTCATCTGATTAGTTGGGCGTCGGTGGCTCAAGGGTAGAACGCTCGCCAACCACGTATGTGGTCCGTGGTTTGTTCTCCGGTCGATGCACTCCTCTACCTCTCCAATCCGGTTGTAAGGCCGGTAAAGAGGGTAGTCTGGGCATGATGAGGTTACCAATCCCATCCTTTAAAAATGAATCCGCTACTACCGAAACTTCGAAGGTCGAGCTTTTGAAGCCTTACATTCCAGACGGATCTTAAAGGAATAAAATGGTTAGTCAAGGTCATCATTACATCTGTCCACCTGGATTGTTATAGTGTAGAGTTACCGAGTATCGAAATTTAAGGATAAGATAATTGTTTCAGCATTATCGAATGTTTATGATCAGTTGGTCGTCTCCTCGATGAGACCTAAAGTATACGTATTTATACTTAATTCTATCAAGATGTTTTTAAATAATATTTATATTTATTATTTTTAATTAATTTATAGGCTGCAATGCGTTATTTCCCTGAACGTTCTCACGGAAGTCCTGCTAATCGACAAGGGGGTTTAAGTAACCCTATACAACAAACTGGATCTAATACATTTGATGCTGGTGTACAAAATAAAGAGCACAACACTCAAAAGTCAATGATAAATGTAACTGCACAGGCCAAAACAAGTTCTTCTGTATCAGTATCGAAATGTCCCAATAATAGCAAACTTCAATCTGGCATTCCAACTCCCGATTCATCAGAATCATTATCTTGTGATAATTCACCACATCTTTCACCGAATCCAATATCAGATTCAGGCTCCCTGGAGAAACCTTCATTTATTACTACGAATAATGTAGACAGTCGTACAGATAAAACGCTTAAAACTGTTCAATCGAATCATCGAAGACCAATTTCCCGGGATGGTAATGGTTCCCAATACAGTCTAAGAAATAATACATCGTTGGGAAATTCGCGAAAAAGACCACATCTATCCAATAATCATGCAACAGCTTCCTCTGAGTCCTGCGATAATCCGATATCTGATGGAAATAAACCTTTGGTGACTAACTGTCCGCCAATCATTACAGATGACAACAATAATATAATTAATGATCTACGAGAAAATTGTCCAAGTTTACAATTGTCTTCTCATTCATCCCCGTCATCAGCCTCATCAAATTCTACAGTTGGCTTCTTTCGTGATGTATGTAGTTCGGATAGTGAAGAAACTTTAATAGGTTCTAATACTACGGGATCTGAACAGGCGACTACATTCACAAAATTATCAGCCTATGAATTTAATCAATCATTCACCGGTGTAACATCTACTGTCCCTTCAAATGTTGTCCAATTGCGTAGAAATAAGCCGAAAGTATCATCAAGAGGTCGAAAAACTCCATGGTGGGATAGAACTCGTGCTAAAAAATCTAAACCAAGTATAGCTGATAATGATGATGGTGGTGGTGATGCCAAACTTTCAAAAAGTAGTAAAAAAGGAACTGACAACCATAAAGAAAAGTTGATAAATGGAAAAAAACCACTGGTAAGTTGTTGTTCTTTCGCACATATTTTGTCTTCAATAAACACTGAAACTGGCGTTTAAAGTTTTACTTTACTCTGATTGGACACTAAGTAGTAAGTGACTAGTAATAGTTGCATGTCCTTTGTTTGGTGCAGCCACATGGATTCCATGAGTCAATCTTGCAATATGGCCACCATGCTGGAGAGGGGGATGGTTCGCCTCACAGTGGACTGCGAATTTTTGTTATTAGATGGTTGAAGGTAATCAGGCATACAAGATTTCATGCTTGTTGGTTCTCATCAGTCAGCAAGGCATATCTGGAACCTTGGAGAAATTCATTTTCCAATATATATTTAGTTTAAGCCACAAAGGAGGCGGGGGTGTTGAATAACTTTCTGGTTGTGGGGTCCTCCGGATGGTAAGAACCAATGATGTCTGGAGACAGTTGGTGATGTGGCTCAAAATCGTTCTCAATGGCTGGCGCTGATGCATTTACTCTTTGTAGTTTGTCATATCCATCCTATACAACTCTGTTGCTCTTCCATATTACTATTCCTTTTACCTCACTCACACTTCTGTTTATTATCTCTCCTTTGAATATCTCTCCACACTCTTCTCTTGCTTTGTGTCCCGGCCGATAACTGCTACCTTGTCGTGGTGGTCGGGCTTGAATACCGTAATGACCCAACATGCTAAACTGACTGGGGCTCTGTCCCTGCAGGTCCTACCATGTCAGGAAGGTTGTTTGGATAGAGGTCAAACTAAAAGCACTTACCATGAGGTACATGGGCTCCAGTATCCAATCGGATCAAATGACATATGAACCCATATGGGTCACCGACAATCATGGGAATGCAGCTCCTGACGCTGCTCCGCTGCCTTGCAGATTAGACTCCAAGTCAAAGGCTCAGGGGGTGGTTCCTTAATAAAACCACCTGCTTCGGTCTGGGTGCCCGGTCAATATCTCAGCCCTCACACAATGAATTGAATGAAGCAACAAACAATCAATGAAACTTATCGCGTGTTGCACTTACACGTGTTGCAGTTTCCTTCTTTCTTCCCTTCCCAATGATAGTTAACGAATACTGTTTGAACTTGTTAAACATGACTGTTTTCCTTCCAGATGAAGTTCTTTATCTGTTCTTTACTAATATATATTTTTTCTCTTCTTTCTTTTTTCTCTCTTGATCTATATTGTTTTATTATTATTGTGTGATGCATCCTTCTTGGTGCCATATTGTACCAAGTTTTTATGCGTTTAAATAAATAAATAAATAACTTGCTTTGTGTGCTACAAGGAGGGAGTGTAACAACTCGAAATGCTGCACTTCTGTGCAAAGTTCTGTGTTGAAACCAACCTATTAGTCATTTTACTCTTGATGGTAATGGAAAACAATCTTGGTTATTTCTCAGTGTTAAGTATCATGTTTGGCGTCAAGTGTTAGATAAGGAGGGAAAGTCAATCGATAATATTGTTAGGCTAAATCATTTGAGATAGTTCGGACGTATGTTACTCCCTGTGACTTATGATCTTCAATGAAACTGTTTTGTATTTCTTTATTACTCCTTTGTCTCACACCTCTGCTCACTGTTTCTATTATGCTTTTCTTGTACTTTCTTCTCTTGCTTCGCGTGCTACACGGAATGTGGCGACTTGAACTTCCGTACATTTGTGCATAGTTCTATGTCGAAAACAGACAGATGTTACGCATGACTAGCCATCATCACCTTCCACGACGAGCAATATTAACTAACATAGGATCTGGGTAGAAAAGAGCTAGTGGTGGTCAAATGAAAATATGACTTCATCAGTCCTACAGATCTTAAAGAGTTAGTTTGAGCTAGCCACTTAGGGAGGTGTAGACTGCTTGATTGATTAGGGTCCTCGTGGTGCTCTCCAAGAATCAATAGCTAGAGATAATTAGTCGTGTGGTTTGAATTCGTTGTCAATGGTGAAGATGCATTCACTCTTTAAGATCTGACCTATCCAATAAAATCGACTTAGAATTTTGGTTGATATAAGATCAGGTTGGAAAAGAGCCGGTGGTGATCAAACCAAAGCATGGTATTATTATTGTTCCCTTGGGTTCCTAGTGGAATATACGGCTTCAACTGCACGTCTCCACTTGCCACTTCTGTCTTCCTTCTGATGTACTTTCCACCTCCATCCATGTTAGTCCATACTCTTTCAACTCCTCTCTCTTCACACCATCTCCTACATGTCACCCTCGAAATGACGTCCAACTCACTACTTCCCTTTCGGCCTGGTTCCACTCGACCAATGGCCTGATGCGCGCTCGATGTCACCCAGCGGCTTCCTCAGCGAACGAGTGTCCAATCCATCTCCACTTTCTCCTGCATATTTCTTGGGCGATTGGTTTGTTCTTGTTTTGTTCGTTCCTTCACATAGTTTTTTGTTGGTGATTCTTTCCGACCCGTCCCGGCCATCTGATCTTCAGTATAGAGCGAAGACAGTTAGTTGTTGATAAAGCTCTGCAATAGCCCGTTGGTGGAAATATTCTCTGTGACCAGCCCGCCAAGTTTCTCATCCGTATAGAAGAACTGACTGACTTGACGTTTGTATTGAAAATCCGAACGAATTTCGTTGTTGATGCTGACTGAGTGACGAAGATTTCCAGATTGGTTTCAGGTTGATGAGTGAATGTGTTTCTCGCCTTCCCGATTCTCGCTCGATTTGACATCCTCGTCCGTTCCGACTTCCTATAGTTGAGACAATGCTCCCTAGCTAGATAAGTGGATGAAGTAACTAACCCCTTTCAAATCCCTCCAGTTGATGGTGATTGGCGCTGGATGTTTCTGCTGTTGTTGTTGGTTTGTTGGTTGGTTATTTTCCTAACCTCCGTCTTGTCTATGTTCACCTGGAGTCCTGTCTTCACCGGCTGCGTCTTCGACCAGTTTGTCGGTTTTCGCTTGTATTCATGAACTCTTTTACGATTATTTTGAGGCTGTTACCTATGGAGGTGCAGATTGCTTGGTTGATTGTTGTCGTCAGGATGATAAAAACCATTGGCTGAGAAACAATTGGTGAAATGGCTCGAAATCGTTGCCAATGTGTCAGATGCATTCACTCTTTCTGGTGTACCATATATATATATTTTCCATGTTAATACCCTTTCTCCTGCACATTTCTGCTTATTATTGTTCTTCTGAGTGTATTTTCTTCTTTCTTTTGTCTTCCTTTGTGTGGTATGTGGAGTGTGGCAACTTCAACTGGTGCACTTTGGTGCAAAGTTCTATGTTGAAACCAATCAGCCAATAAGTCAGTCAGTCAAATATAGTGTTATATTTTTATTTATTTATTATTTTGATTACAGCTTGATTCCACACCATTTTTTTTTGATACAAGTATGGAATTTTCAGCATGTGATATCGGTAGCCCAATTTCGCAGGCCGACCATTGATATCAGGTGTGGGTTGGCAGGGGATCGAACCCCGGACCATGTGCATGGTTGACGAGAGTCCTAACCACTGTGCCACCGACACACCTATACCTGAAATTAGGATATAACATCAGATATATTGAAATTGTGTTCCCTGCTAAATATCCACATCAGTTCTTTGCGTCTTTTTTTCGCGTGGTTAGTCAAAAATGTTTCGGGAATTGCAGTGTTCTGTTTTTAACAGCAACTTCTATATAGGTCTTTATAAGTACATTACATTTACCTTTCAGAGATCTCTCCTAGTTTACAGACTACAACTGAAAATTGGTTAAAAGAGACAGAGTATCGATGTTTGTGCATCAGCTATCATCACACCTTCACGCCTGTTCAAGCATCGGTGGCACAGTGGTTAGGACTCTCGCTGAGCATGTACATGGTCTGGGGTTCGATCCCCACCCGACCTACGCTCACCCGATATCAACCGTCGACACCTCTGCAAAATTTGGGCTACCAATATCACATGCTGAAAATTCCATACTTGTACCAAAACTACTGTGATGTGGAATCAAGCTTTAATAATCAATAATTTTCAAAAAAATGTTTGAGAAGGCAAGAAAAATGAAAGGAAATTTATTTTCTACACTATTGTTTTTCTTTAAAAAATTAATAAGTAAATAAATGAATAAATATAAATCGTTGTTTCAAGAAAGAAACTTCATGCAATTAGTGTTCCCTTGAAAAACTGTTTGACTAAATAAAGCTCAATATAATCCAGTGAACATCTTTTATCGGTTATAAACTGAATTCATTTTTGTCCTGCAAAACACAGTGTGTGTGTGTGTTCACTGCTTGTGTCCTGTATTCAAATAATTTTTTTAAAATTGTTTTGATATAATAATAAAAAGTAACAAAATTTATTTAAACACAATTTGTTACAATTAGTATTTAATTCCATTGTTGTGGTGTTTCTTTTTTCTCAATGTTTAGAACACTCTATACCTATGTCTCCTCTTTTTTTCCTTTCCATTCCTTTCCTCTAACATACTTTTATGCATTTACTTTATGTCTTTTAATTTTATAGAATCAAGGTGACAATCGAACCCATAATGTGTCATTAAGGTGAGTTGTCTCTCTCTCACATATTTATATACTTATATATAATTCTTCTTTAATGACATAGAATATTTACCCAAGTCTAAGATTTTAGATTGTAGCAAATTGACTCATTAAAGTTGTGTGTTTGAATTCCATTATGGATAAGATTTTTAGTATCTCAAATAACTAACTACCCTATAAAATTCATTAGAAAGATCAGTAAAGGTCAAAGACAAAATAAAAATAATTGTGAAACTAGTAATGATAACATAAATAGGAGAGAATATAAGTCATCTACGGTTATACCATATAGGGAGGGAGGCGACATCTGAAACCCTTCCCGCATAGGATTCTTATTAAAGCAGGAATTAGGGTGGCATTCAAACCCTCCTACAAACTCACTCAGAGACAAGCTCTGTAGACTAAAAGACCCGGTGAACCCAATTAAACAAAATAATATAATTTACAAAATACCCTGCAATCACTGTGAGTTAAGTCAACTACATAGGTTAAACTAGTAGGTCGGGGGTAGTGAGATTATCAGAACATAAGAATTTAGCTAAGGGGAGAATGGTTGACCCCACTCGCGAAGATAAGTAATTTAGAAAAAAGCTCAGCAATTGCACTTCACGCAATAACACACAACCACACAATAGGGTGGGATAGGGTTAAGATTCTAAGAAGTAATCTATGTAGGTGGAGACAGAGAGAGAGGTTGATTACTGAATCCTGCCTGGTTCATTGAGTCTACACCCAACACACCACATGCAACAGAAATCACTCAATGCAAATACCAGAGATATGTATGGAAGATATTACTACCACCAGTCAGTCAAATCAGAGGAGGATAATAAATAATCTCAAAATTCTATTTCAATTCAAGCATATCACAACATTCTAACCTGTTACTTATTATGACTGAACAAACACTCGTCTTATTTCCCATCTGACTGTAATTGATCAATAACGCTCATATTATTATTATTATTATTATTATTATTATTATTTCTGAATGTACATTATCTTATAGTGATTTGTATTCACATGTCTAATCATCAATTTTTACTCATGTATATAAATGAAACAAGAAAGCTGTGTGAGTAGCTTGATATGATTATGAGTGGCAATAGTTTGTGCTCGAAACGTGGACGTCATCAGTTAATATTACTGTATAACAAACACTGTATAATTTATCAAAATAAAATCTTATCCATAATGGAGTTATACTCTACCACCACAGTGCCCAAGTTTTATACTTCTATCAATTGTGTTTGGATTCTTATATCTTCAGTATCCGAGCTGTACTGTTAACTGGAGCGGGAAGACAGGAATACTTTGGACTGGACTTTGCAGACGACTTATTTATTAATGTCTTGTAAAGACCAATGACTTACGGGCGAAAGTCGAAAAGTTGGCAGAAGTGGCAGGTAGCGAAGACGTAGAGAAGACGGAAGTAGTATAGATAACCAACCAGCCAACAAACAGACCAACAACAATGAGGAGCACCAATCATTGTCAATGAGAGAAATTTCAAAGAGGTTATTTCCTTCGCTTATCTGGACAGCAGCATTGTTTCAACTACTGGCGGTGGCTGCATGGATGAGGATGTCGAAACCGCTCGTCACTGTGAAATCAGTTCGTAAATCTTCTGCACTATAAGCATAAAGAACAAAATTTGGATTTCACCACCAATATTAAATGTCAGTTCTGATATATGGGTCAGAAACTTGGCGAGCGCGTCATCCAAAGCATTTTTAACGGGCCACTAAAGACTTCCATCAACAGCTGCCTGCTTCACTGGCTCCATAATGAATATCAGATGGCCCCAGCGAGAAAGAATTAGGAACAAGAAACTCTGAGAACGAGTCAATCAAGAACCTGTTGCTCAACAAATATATGGGGAAAGTGGAAATATGGATGAGACACACGCTGGAGAGATTGTTGGTCGACATCACTCTCCAGCCTACCGCTTGAGTAGAGCTCCAATGGGAAACCATTAGTTAGGCATTCCGATTCCACCATCTGTAGATACTTTTTAACTTTGAACAGGAATTTCGTGTGATGGTAGTGACTAGTAGTTGAATTCGAGATGGTCTATACGAGTTCGACCACGGATTGATATCAGTTAGAGAACCATTGAAAACCAGACACAGGGAGTACTGGACAGCTGTTTCATCCTAGTTTTTTTGGGGATTATCATCAGTACGTACCCACTGTTGAGGATAGATTTCCCACCGATGACATTGGTCAGTGCCAGTCGTGCTAAATCACTGATTGTTAAAAGTTAGAATTCATGCACGGACTAGCCATTGAATCGGATTCCAGTGGCGTTGAATGGTATACGAGCTAGCTTGTCTTGTAACCGGAAGGTTGTCGGTTCGAACCCCAGTGTGGTGGGTGCGTACTGCCGATAACTCTGAAACTAGAATGAAACAGCAGCTGTTCAGTACTCCCTGTGGCTAGCTTTCAATGGTTCTCTAACTGTTATCAATCCGTGGTCACGCTCGTCAAAACGAATGCAAGATGCGCTAATATCTTCCTTTTTCGTGGAACTTGTCAGTCAAATATGCCTGTATGCCTACTTTGAGTGATGTTGTACGCACAGTGGTGTTTATCATTCTTTTTCATCGTCAAAGCGACTATCCTTATTGACACTGAACTGTATTCACCACACTGGTAATTTATTCTTTTTATAACTTGGTAAGAATCAATGCTTTCTTCTTTCCTAATCCTATAATAATAATAATAATAATCTTCAACCAGTAAAGAAAACATTAAGTGTGTCTCGGTCGGATCGTTACTTGACATATCTAGATAAATATACCTCCTCTTCTTCTTAGTATCTGTCTGGTTACTATGAGACTGTTATCTACGTAATTTATTCCCCCTGTGTATTATGGCTTGCTCTAGCCCGTTTGTTGTTGGCTGACTGACTGATTTATTGATTGGTTATGAAATCCAGACTAGCATTCTGCTTCACAATTTCAAACAAGTCAACTCTTCTTTCTTATACTCTTCATTTTTATTTCCTTATCTCTGTCTATCAACATCATTTCATGACTGTTTGTTTTGTTTTTGATGTGGTTGTGTTCTCTGAGCTAGCTGGATAGTTGATTTGCGAAGCTTTCATCACCCTATTAGGTGACATCTTCAGCACATACTTCAATTTGTTGAAATGAGCTTTTCGATTTCTCCACGAGTTTATTAATCATCTCTCCCGGTGGGTGACCTTGGACGTGATTGGTTATTTTGTGTGTTTTCACACCTTCTAGGTGACTACTTGTATTGGGACTGATAGTTTCTTTGACTTGAACTTTGACCCGTTGTGTGTGAGGTTTCTTTCTTATCGGTTGATAAATTTTGTCTATCTCTATGTGTCTATTGATTGATGATTAACTGCAATGCGAGGCTTCTAAAAATTCTCTAGCATTCTTGTTGTTTCCTTTGTCTAATATTTAAACGTTGTTCCAGTCGAAATGATGTCCGTGGATGTCTGTATGTAGTGATATGAGTGAGGGAGTGGATATCATATCTTTTGACGACTAGCTTGTGTTCGTGGATAAGAAGACGAAGGGGACGTCCACTTTGGCCAATGTAGTGTTTTCGCAGTTCTTACAACTTATTTTGTAGATGATGTTGGTTTTATCTTCGTTCGCAGTTGAGTCTTTTGGTTGACATAGAATTGAGTGAAGTGACTTTGTTGGTTTGTGTACAACGTCAATTCCTAGAGGTTTGCAGAGTCTTATTATTATTATTATTATTATTGTATCCTTTAGTTCCTAGAGGAACATAGGGCTTCAGCTGCGCACCTCCATTGACTTCTGTTTTTTGACAACTTTTTCACCCTGCTCCAGGTCTGCCCACATGCTTTCATCTCCTCTTCACATGACCTCCTCCAAGTCACCCTTGGACGACCAACTCGCCGCCTCCCTTTCGGGTTCCACTCGAGGGCTTGTCTAGTGATGTCACTTGTTGGTTTCCTCAGCGTATGGCCAATCCATCTCCATTTCTTTCTGCCTATTTGTTTAACAATCGGTTCCTGATTGGTTCGCTCCCAGAGATCCCTGTTGCTGATCTTTTCTGGCCATCTGATCTTGAGTATTGAGCGGAGACAGTTGTTAATGAAGGTTTGAAGTTTGTTTGAGATGCTCTTTATGACTCGCCAAGTCTCTGATCCGTATAGTAGCAGAGTCTTATAGTGATTTCTTTATATATGGTAAGGCGATTTTCTTTGTGCTTTCCTTGGGGGCTCTCGGTTTGATAGGTTGGCATGGGGATATATGTCTTTTGATGAAATTCCGTGGATATCCATTCTTTTGGAAGACGTCCATGAGGTATTTTTCTTCAATTTTTCTTAAGGTGGGAGTGCTGCAGTGAGTCCTTGCTCTCTTGGATAGTGTTTGTATGCAATTCCTTTTGTGTGTTATTGGATTGTTGCTGTTGTAATTCAGGATTTGGTCTGTGTGAGTTTATTTCCTATAAACTTGAGTTTCTAATTCCCCTGTCGTGGTTGTTCGCTTGACTAAGACGTCCAAAAATGGGATTTGGCTCTCGGATTCTTCTTTTCTTGTGAATTTGATGTCGTTGAAGACGTTGTTTATTAAGTTGAGTGAGTTTTATCTAACTCGTTTCTTTTTTTGTTTTTGTTTTATCGATTGATAATAATGTCAGGGTTAGTTGATCAGCTGTCACTATTATTATTATTATTGTTTTCTACTTTTCTGTGTTTTTCATTTAGTCAAGATGTTCTTTCTTCTGGGGTCAACAATAATAATAACGATAGTAATCAAAGTAATAGTAGCAATAATCATAATGATGTCTCCAATGTCACTGAATTGTACAGTAACCAATCACATACACAACATCATAGCGATGATACGCTTGATGAGAATAGTAATACACACAGTCGTGAAACGTCTTCACGTTTATTTAGAAAAACGTGTCCTGAAGTAAAAAACAATAGAAATACATCTACTCCTGATGCTACTATAATCAATAACAATGATAAATCAAAAAAGTTTACCCTGGACCACAATACATCCTTCGCTTTGGGTTCAACAGCAAACTCGTAAGTGGTTTGTCGGTGTTGTTTTTCAACTGAATGTCTATTTTGTTTCTATATTGGTTTGTTTATTAAATGTATCACATAGTGAAACAGTAGTGTATACTGGATGACATTTCGAACACAATTTATCATTCATAATCATATCAATTTTGGTCACACTACATCGAGATTTGATTTTTATAGTTTTCTCTGTCTTCTCCTATTTGTCGTATGGGCAGTAGAATTTTCTATATATCTGGGACAGGTGTTGAGTCGTTTCGTTTATATTGTTTATTGTGACCACTGCTTGTTTCGTTTTGCTTTGCTTTTTTAATATTTTATATGAACTGTGATCAATATTTGACCGAATAAGTTCAACAATAAATGGGCGCTGAATAGTGGAAAGGTAGATATGTGTGTAAAAGAAAAAGGGAAATTATACTTGTAAAATTTCAGCCTAATTGAAATAAATAATGCCATATCACCTTTCGTTTATCAAACTGGTCCGATTTCCTTCAGGGAAAATAAGATCAAAATTAGATTATTATTATTTATTATTGTTTCCTTTAATTCCTAGAGGAAGATAGGGCTTCAGCCGCGCGTCTCCATTGCGTCCGGTTCTCTGAGAACGTTTTCACCCCGTTTCAAGTCTGCCCACACGCTTTCATCTCCTCTTCACATCATTTTCTCCTCCAAATTACCCTCACATTGACGAACAACTCACCGTTTCCCTTTCGGGTTCCACTCGAGTAATGGCTTGTCTAGTGATGTCACTTGATGGTTTGTTTTCTCAGAGCATGGCCAATTCATCTCCATTTATTCCTGCTTATTTGTTTCACAATCGGTTCCTGGTTGGTTCGCTCATTGCCAGAGATCCCTCACTATTGCTGATCTTTTCTGGCCGGCCATCTGATCTTGAGTATTCAGCGAAGACAACTGTTAATGAAGGTCTGTAGTTTGTTTGAGATGCTCTTTATGACGCACTGGCCAAGTCTCTGATCCGTATAGTGGCAATGCCTGACTTCACATTGGAGCTGAGAATCCGGAACTTATTTTTGATGCTGAGTGCTGTTGACTTCCACACAGACTTGAGAGTAATAAAAGCTTGTCTTGCTTTTCCGATCCTCGCTTCGATATCCTCGTCAGTTCTGTCAGCCTGTAGTTGAAATGATGCTTCTCAGGTAGAGGTAGGTAAAGGAGGTTGTTTCTCTCAGGTTCCTCTCATTTATGCTGATTGTTTTCTGATATAGTTGCTACTGCTCTTGCTGTTGGCCAGGAATCTTCATCACCTCTGTTTTATCTATGTTCACCTGAAGGCCTATCTTCTCTGGATGCTTCTTCTGCCAACTTGTTGCTTTTCACTTGCATATCTTCCAGTTTGTGGGAAATTAGAGTCTAGAGATCAACAACATCTACAAATAAATTGTATTGACTTTGATGAGCACTGCATTGATTAACTCTTGGTCCGACAACATATTTATTACTTGTTATTCTCTTGGGTTTCTAGTGGAATATAGGGCTTCAACACCACATCTCCACTTTGTTTTGTTTGGTGCTGTCCTCTGCAACTGGGTCCACGATTGCGCATAATTTCTTATCTCCAACTCACACGATCTCCTTCATGTCACCCTTGAAACCACATCCAAATCGTCGTTTCCTATTGGGATTCTATTCGAGCAATGGTCTGACAGGCGATGTCATCCAACGATATCCTCAGCCTGTGTCTGATTCATTTCCATTTTCTCTTACATATTGGTTGGGCGATCGGCTCTTGGTTGGTTTGTTCCCAGACAGAGTTTCTTGTTGCTAATCCTTTCTGGCCGGCCGGCCGGCTGGCTATTGGATGTTCAGTTATGGAACCAGCCAGCGAAGTGGGCAGCTGTTGATAAAAGTCTATAACTTGTTGGATATCCTTTTCGTGACTGACATGCAGTCTATGTTTCTGTCCCATATAAAAGAACTGACTGACTTGACATTTTTGTTGAACATCCGAATCTTGTTGTTTATGCTGGCTGGGTGCAGTGCACACTGGTTTCAGGTTGATGAAGGTGTATTTTGCCTTTCCGATTCACGCCTGTTCAAGCTATATATATATATATATAGGCCTTTTCCAGTTAGTCTTTCTTTATACGAACCAAAACCATTTCCTTAGAACCATGATTCTTTCAATGTTGGTCGTGTATCCCGTTTCCATCGTTGATCTGTTTTCTAGCTTCTTAAAATCTTCAGTGGTCTTTTGAATCACTTTTAGACATTGTTTATGTTCCTTTACTCTTACACTAACTTGCTTTATTTCATCGGATGCTTGTTTGAGATAGGGAGTCACCGCTGTAATAACCCAAATCTTAGCAACAGGTTTCGATTCGTCCTTATCTTCACTTTTAAATATCTTTCATTAACGGTTTTTTCGTGTAATTATTTGAATCAAGAATAGACTGAATAACGTCTAGTTCCCTGTTGATCTCTACTTCCTCTGTAACTCCACGTTTGGCACTGTTAATCAAATTCTTAGTCACGGTTACTTTGGTGGTAAAGGGATGTAGTGTATTGTAATCTTATCATTTGTCTGAATATGTAAGCTTTCTGAAGCCATTGATCTTAACTTCACCATGTGGCTGTCTTTTGACCAAAACACATTCCAGAAAAACTAAATCATTTGCGTCGGATTTAACCGCTTTTGAAAACTCAGTGGTTTTCGACACATTGTTTATTAAATGAAAAAGTTCATTCAACATACTACGTCTCAAATTGACGTATGTATCGTCTACATTCTTGGAGGCCTAGGGGGTCTCATAAATTGCATTTGTTTCGAATGAGTGCATAAAGAGTAAGGCTACTAACGTAGACACTGGTGATCTCATAGTTAATACCTTCTGTTTGATGGTAAATAATCCCTCTAAATGTAAATAACGTGGAGAGTAGACACAGTTCCAATGCCTTCATAATTTCATCTGAACATCGAACATTATGTTCATTGTCAGAACGAAATAAATCACTTGCAGAATCTTCAATGATAACATTCGGGAATAATGAATGAACATCGAAACTTACCATTATTTCATCTTCTTCAACAGAATTCCTGGTGAATTTTCTCTTAAATTCATACGAATCCTTCACTCCATATTCCACTTTCGTTTCTTATTCTTGAAATGTATTTAGATAGTTTGTGGATCGGAGATTTAGTGAAATCTATAACTAGACGTAATGGAACATCTGGTTTCCGTACTTTTGGTAGTTCATAAAATTTACAAGAACTGCAACCTTTTGGAGCCAGAGTACACTGAGTTTCTCTTTTATTGACTGTAACACTTTGTCTTTAATTCATTCAACACAGCTCTTGACTTTGTCATGTTGACGTTTTCATAAGGTCCAGTACTAAGCTGTTCCGCAGCTGTCTTTCCATAATCTACAGGATGCATAACAATCATGGTGTAACGACAGAAGACAAGGGCCACACAACTGATCGTTTATTGAGAAAATCAAGAGATATTTATATATTTTTATGTATATTATTATTAAGGCTATTGTTAGCAGAGAAGCAGTGTCTTCTGATTGGTCGTTTTCACACTGGAAGTTAATCTGTCATCTCTTTGTGACTGTTTCTTTGAAGGTCAGACCATAGCATATCTGCTAATCGTATCCGCCCACGCAAAGTCTGCTGTGATTGGTTGTTGTGTTAGTCTTTGTTTTTGTGTTTTTTTTTCTCATGACCAAGATTTGGGACGTAAACATTGACGTAAACTGCTTGCTGTCTACCAATATTGGCTAGCAGACTGTTTTCACCACAGTGGTATTGCCCTATGTCTACTCTTGCAATGACAATAGACCTATCTTTCTGTAACTGTATTAATGCCTACCAGTTGTTCGCCTTTGCTAATATTCGGCAACTTTTTCTTCTGATTTAGTAATGTAGCAACATTTTTGCATCTTATCATGTTGACCACTTCGGCTGTCACACATTTTTTATGAAAGTTTAATGGCTGGAACTATTGAGAAGGCCGGTGGTCATCTTTTGTTTAGATTAGAATTAAGGAGTGACAGCTTACAATCAAAGATAAATTTCTATCAGAGAGATGACTTTTACTACCACTACTATGCTTGTATCTGGAATATTATGGATTCAATATATTTCAAGAAAGCTGACGTCTAGTGTTACAGTCTAGTCGATGAAAACATCCTGCCAAACTTTACTAATTTGTCTTCTTTTTAAAGATTGAATTCTTTTATAAAACTCGAAAATATTGTTAATGTTATTTAAATTTTGATTAGTCTCCCTGAAGAAGTTAGGACCATTTTGCCGAACAGAAACGTTGAAATTATTTATTTCAATTCCACTGAGCTTTTACAGTTATGATTTTTACATAGGTCTCCAGTTTCCTCTCTTTTTTATATATGCATTCAGCCTAAATTATGTCACTTTATTGTTTTTGCCAGCTTCTATACTCCAAGTTTTATGGGAGGTTTAAGTTTTTGTCTAGACACATCTTTAGATAGTACTGTAAAGAAGAAAAATCGGACAAGGGTCAAAGGCAATGTTTATTAGGACTAACGCATTGTAGGTACCTAAATTTGGTATGACTTATCTTCAATGCTATATTTGCACATCATTTGCGAATTGGTCGAATATCGCTACATTTGATCTGTCAGCAATGAGGCTGTTACTTGGAACGCCTTTGGGCGGTTGGACGACGGCAGGTTATGATAGTGTGAGTCGGAACACCGGCGAACACCACCCAGGTTCATGCAGACTGCTCGCAAAGTGGAGAAGAGGACCATACATGGTCACCGTGAGACCGAGTCACGTATATACGATCAGAAATGCAAACAAAGAGGAGCGGGTGAACGTCAGCGAGCTTCGGAACTCGATATAGCAAGACAAGCTCACAAAGCCGCCAGGACCAATATGATCCAACCGACTTCAGTCGAAAGTTTTTGACAGAGGGGCGAGTGTGGTTGTGTGACACAGACAATATGTGCCAACGGGATGTTATTCTCACATGTTCCCACAGTTCATTTCAGCATTAACAAAAGAATACGTTGACCTCCGTGTCTTGCCTTCTATTGTTGCAATAGCTTCAATAGTCTTTGCATATTCTGTATGATTTTATTGTTGTTGTAGCTGTTGTTGTTCGAATTTCTTTCCTCATTTATTTATTTACTTCTACTTTTATAGTTGGCTTGGAATGGGCACGGCTCGTGGTCGCATTTATAGTAAACATCCAGAATTATTTCGTTATGTTTGTGATAATGAAGATAAAGCTTGGCTTGTTCAAACCGGTGTAATAGTTAGTCATGGTGTCAAAGCCTACCTAGTTCATGCAGAACAAGTTTATCATATTGCTGAACAAATCAATTCGCAGATCACAAAATCTTCTATTGGACGTGGTGCTGAAAAGCTGAAAACATTTAAATTACCACAAAAGATTTTACAAAAGGTATGCAACATTAATATTACTATTATTATCATTGTTATTACTATTACTATTATCGGTATGATTACTTTCATGGGGTTATGACTGTTACTGTCCCTATAGTTTTGTACCCACTGGCGCTTTCCATAAGTAATTGATGTTATATTTCCTGCTAACATATGTACTTAGAAGCTGGTTAATATTGGAGTGGATAAAATCACACAGTGTTGTTATACAGTAATATTAACTAATGCGACCACATTTCCAGCACAAATTATTACCACTCATAATCATTTCAAGGTACTACTCAAACAACTTTCTTGCTTCATTTATAATACATGAGTAAAAATTGATGACTGGACATTTGAATAAAAGCAATCAATAAGTCTGTGACTGTGAGGTCAAACTAGTAGATCGGGAGTAGTCAGATTATCAGTACCTAAGAATTTAACTCAGGTTAGAATGACTGATTCTACGACGATATATAATTTAGAGAAATGATATATATTCTTTCATATCAATGCATATAGATAATTATGGACATCAGTTTGATTGGAGATAATGTCGAAACCTTAGACAGAGGAAACACTAAACGTGCCAGAGAATTCCTAGAAGCCTGGTACTCAAACGAATATGCGATTAACGAACATGTTAATAGCGATCAAATATACCAACTAATAAAAAGTAAATCATTTGACGAGAAAGTTCAAAATTTAAGTCAATAGAAAATGATTAATACAGATGTCAAGGTGGCTACCAGGAGATGCAATTCCATCACTCATGACAAATTTAAATCAATTCACTTCATGCTAAATATTGCTCTGAAGATTTTGTCGAGAAGGGGGAAGACGAAAGCTCCGCAACTAAACCAAACCAGCTTCTCAGAGAACACTGTTGTAATTACATAGAAAATTTAGTACGGTATCGTTGTCTTTGAAAAAACTACGTACTTTGAAATTGAGGAAACATAAACCTATAATTACTGTATAACTAACTCTACCCACTCTAATTTTATTTCCCCAAAATTAAGATTATTATTGTCACCCTTAGAAAAACAATGATCGATGAAATTTAAGAAGCTGAAACTTTAGGAGAGAAAAAAAAATATCAAAGTTGCTATTTAACCTTACTAATTTTATTTTAGTCTTAGGTGTAAATCAGAAAGACTTGCACAGTGATATATGAAGAAAGAAGAGAACACAAAGTTCAGCAAAGATGGAGATCTTTTCGGCGATTTCATTCTCAAAAACAGCTGTACAATCGCATTTATATAGATTAGTTTACATGAATACAATTCTGATTTGTTTAATTCCACATAGCAACGAAGGTGATAATAATTTTTAACTTGATATAAAAGTTTGAGGGTACGAATATAGATTACACGGGGGCTTAGAGACAAGATTGCATAGGATTAGAAAACAGTTACAACGTATGCAAAAATTAATATTTAATAACTTGGAGAAATAATTTTAAGTCAAATAAAAGGTAAACGATAATTGTTTTCAACTTGATATGAATTACAAGAGGCTTAGAAACGCAGGGATAGAACGAATTACAGGTGTGAACAAAATGAGCATGGAAACAAATTGAAATCAAAATTTTCGACTTGAAATGTTAGTTAGGAGGTATGAATATAGATTACAAGAGGTATAGAAACAAAAAATTACACAGGATTAAGATATAATTGTAAAATAGTTATTTTAAACGAATTGTAAATGTGAACAGGGAAAAGCATGGAAACAAACTTAAAATAACTGTTTTTATAACTGAAAAAAAATTAGGTGAATTTAATGAAGACTGAGGGAATAAGGATCAGACACACGGCGAACGAAAGAACGCTCAAAAGGAAAAGAGAGAACGAAAAAAGACGAAGAAGAGAAAAGAAACGGAAGCAAAGGGAACATACCAAACTAGGTCCATGGTAGTTGTAGAGGTTGGACTAATTTCTTTTGAACACATAGCTCCGGCTTCTCGATGTATATTGCGAGGGCTTCTGCAGTACAAAGAAGTCGGAAACATAGTGCTTTTGGTAGGTCTCTGTTAACTTTGTAAATCACTTTGAAAGAATCAGTTGAGATGTTGTGGGAGATGTTGACCAGATGTTCAATAATGGCACTTGTGATTGAACCGGCGCCTCCTCTTTGCAGCCACGCTGGGCAATGTTCTCTAACACGTTTTGAATGGACGCGCATACAACGACCTATGTACCTAGCTCTTCAGGAGCGAGTGAACTGGTATATCCACATTGAATTGGTCATATGCGAGAGTTTGTCCTTCGTGTTGTTTGGAAGTATTGGATAGCCAGAGAATGTTACTCTTAGTGTTGCTGCAGGGAAGATCTTCTTTAAAGAGGTGGATATTCTCCTCTTCAGGATATCAGCTGCCAAATTTCCCTTGAAATTCAGATTTAGGTACAGCGTTTTCTTTGGCGCTGAATCACATTCTTCTCTTTTTAGTTTAGGTTTCAAGTTCTTTCCGACAAAACGTGTTGGGTAACCATTTTGAGTCAGGATATTTTCGAGGAATAGGAGCTCCTCTTCCATGTAAAATAATCTATATAAATGCGATTGTACAGCTTTTGAGAATGAAATCGCCGAAAAGACAGATATCTTTGCTGAACTTCGTGTTCTCTTCTTTCTAATGTCCATATTTGAAGAAGGCGAAAACATGTTATGCGCTAAAACAATGTTTCATTTATGTTCAAAGCCGAAACCCAAAGTAGTTAGCCGAAATTTTTTAGAAAACAGAAAGATCGAGGGAAGAAATATTTACTTTTCAATTAGATCCTCATCTCTGGCTCTACTCTAATATACATATGTAGGATTTTTATTACAATACGCAACAATTTACGAATCAAGTGGCGATAAGTATGTTAACGATAATTAGTCAGTGTCAAAATGTCAATGGGTTAATAATTAACGAAGAAAATCAATACAGATTTAAAAGGTAGAAATGGTTAGAATAAATTAATTTTACAAGGATAACACGTAATTAAAGATGAAGTGAACAAAATAAAAAATAAAATAAATAATCTAGACAATTATAATTCTTATAGGTTTAGGGGGATGGGGACGACGTAGTCCTGTTTATACATTCATGTAACGATGGCCAAGGTAAGGAAAGTGGCTGTACAAATTCCTTCTGAACACACAGGTTTGGCTTCTTCAGGTGGATTCTTATTGCTTCAGCTGTCTGTAGGTGATGAACTCGTAGAGCAAAATTAAGATTAGTAGGAATGCGATAAATAATTTTAAATACAGTATTAACATTCACCTTATGCTCAGTATCAACCAGGTGGGCTAAAATAGAACTACGAATAGATTTTGTTTGTTCCTTGCTTAACCACGCTGGATGATGTTTGGAAATACGACGATGAACTTGCCTAATTGTACACCCAATATAAATGTCTAAATCGGGATTTTTTCTACAATGAAATTTTTTTACTTTCAACTGGTGAAGATGTTGATGAAATTCAGTAGCCTTCTGAACACCTTGAGAAGAAATCTTCGAATGTTTAGCATGGGATTTGCTTCTGTCAGATGTAGGACTGGACTACATCGACTCCTAGATGAAAGATAACGAGGGAGTGAAATGGTAATAAAGCCTAATGACTACTTCACTTATATGAGAAGATTTATCAGCAGCCCCAATGGGCTAGTCGATGTCGACATGTCAGCACGGATACGAAAGGCTTATCACATCTGGCGTAGATGTGATATTCAGCCTGTTATCGATCACAGGATATGTGTTCGTTTCGTCCTCCTTTTATGATTGTGAATGACAAATAGCCATTGAATTTGGAAGATATGAAAAAGCCAATTTTCTTTGACCATAGATATCTACGTTCGCTGTCCTATGTTAAGTGGTATAATAAGGTGATATATATTGAGGTTAGGCGTCGATTGTTAGGTTAGGAGGGAAGCTACTTCGATTGAAATGGTTAAGACATGTATTACTCGTTCCTAGCCATCGTCTTCTTCGACGGGGAATGTTAGTTAGTTAGACAGAGGATGACGTTGTAATAGAGAGAGAGTGGTGGTCAAATGGAAATATGGCTTCATCAGTCCATGAAATCTTCAACAGTTAGTCTGAACCAGCCGTGTGCAGGGAGGTGTAGACTGCCTGATTGGCTTCGTTCTCCTGGATTCTAAGAATGAATGACTGGAGACAATTGATGATATGGCTGGTAATAATTCTCAATGGCGGAGATGCATTCTCATCCTTTGTGGTTTATCATTTCCAATAAAACTCTATTTTTCTTCCATGTTACTATTCCTTTTCCCCTCATATTTCTGCTAATTGAACTACTGTACTTCTGTGCAGAGTTCCATGTTGAAATCAATCAGTCAGCTAGTCAAGTTCAACTGGCAAGTAATGCATAAATCCCCCAGCCAATAAAAGGTTCATATTTAAGTATCAATTGTCTTTTATTTTGGTTGATAGCGACTAACAGTGCGGAATCCAGAGTGTGAATTTTGTCTTGTTTGGGACTACTTATCTGCATATAACCAATTATTTCTAAGCGCCAAAAGATTATCTACTAAACCACTGGGGTCTAAATGTACATCCTGCATTCCACCGCAAGTCACCATCAATCAAAACAGTATCATGTTATTCCTGAGGCATCATCAAAGCGTCTGTATCCTAGCAGTCAGATATGTCCAGAGAGACCAATCATTTCAGTTCATTATAATTAATCAGTTGGGAATTCAAAATAACTTAAAAAGTCTAATAGCTGTCACTTTTATTCGTACTGGTAGTACTATTAGTAGTGTGATGAGAACATTCTTTTTGAAATGATATCACATTGTCAATATTGAAGAAGTACTTGCATCTAAAATAAAATAAAATAGAGAAATATCTATAAAATTATATCGAATGAATTACCTGAATATCTTGAGTATGAAATGATTTGATAGGAAAAATAGATCTACTGATCTACTATTGTAACAATAGAAGACAGGGGCCAGACAACAGATTGTTTATTAAGGAAATCAACACATATTTATAGATTTTCATGTACATTATGATAGATTTGCAATTAATAGTGTTCTCTGAGCTGGTTGGTTTAGTTGTGGAGCTTTATGATAGATTATTGTTAGCAGAAAAAACACAGTCTTCTGATTGGTTGTTTCTCACGGAAAGTTAACCTTGCATCTCTTTTTATGGCTGTTTCCTGCATGTCAGACCATCTATATGCTAACTGTATCCACCTACGCAAAATCTACTGCGGTTGGCTGTTGAATAAATCTTTGTCCATATTTTTCTCACTACCAATACTGGGGACATAAACATTGACGTAAAATACTGTCTACCAATTTTGACTAGTAGCTAGCTCTCACCACACTATCACCGTCGTTGTCACTCGACATCAGATTTCATGACATTGTAAGATTCTAAACAATAGTATGTATTACACAAAGTGTAAGATTAGTACATAAAAAGTATGTGTAGGCGATAATAGAAAGACTATTTAGTTCATAAATGAAAGCACGTAGAACGAAACTTCATTGAGAATTTGAAACCGAAAATCTTAACTAGTTTGAGTTACTTAAATCCCCTATCGACGACTACGCACAGTCGAGGGTGGGTAGACTACTGTGTTCCTCTAGAAATGTCTCCATGTGGCCACGCGTTCATAGCCTCTGTCAGATAAATCCCATCCATTGCCTTCATGTGACAAAAGTCATCTTGACAAAAGTGAGGGGGTGAATGCGAACATTGTAGAGGTACCAGCTTCAAAGAATCTCAACCCACGGATTCTGAAGCTGGAGCTGCTGCCATAAGACTAATCGTGTGGTGACAGCTGTCTGCAAGCCAAAATTGTAGACAACACAATTTACGTCCCAAATCAGGGTCATGAGATAAACCAATAAAAACACTTAACTTTGAGGAACTCACCAACCAATCAGGGCAGACTTAACGTGTGCAAATACGATTCGCGGATATATGACTAAACTTTTTAAGAAACAGTCACAAGTAGTACAGAATAACTTTGAACAAGAAAACAACCAATCAGAAGACGCTGTTTCTCTGCTAACAATAACGCTAATAGTAATGTACGTAAAAATCTATAAATATCTGTTGATTTTCTCAATGAACGATCTTTTGCCTAGCTCTTGTCTCCTGTCGTTACACCAGTAGTAGTAGTCTTCAACTTTTCTTTTAATCTTACTATACTCTTGTCGTTCATTTGTCTATCCTTTTGTTTTCTTTTATATTTAATAAATAGGTCAGAAATGCTGCATTAAATCATTCATTTTTCTCACATATCATATCTACTGAATATGATGTTATTGATGACGATGATGTTGGTGAATTAATGAATAACACAAAAGCATTAAAGACAAAGCCTCATAATTCCTCCTCCACCTCCTCATCGTCATCAACAGTAGCAGTGCCGCCTCGAACAAATTATCGGAATAGATCAAAGACAGACATCCCTCTGCATACATTAATGAATCAAACAAAATCTACTGATCTGGTGTCAGACAGTTTTCAAGTATGTTTTATTGCAATTGATTTATTAACAACTGTTCATTATTATTTATTTGAATTTTTTTGATTTTCCTGTCGATTGATTGGACCGAAGTGCTTGGTCTCAGGTTGACATGTCTGTTAGCTTCTTGTGCAGATGCTTCAACGATGTCTGTGCGTATAATTGGAAGTTAATTGGTGGATGGTGACTAGCAGTGGAATCCAGCGAGGATGCGCCGCATTTCTTCCTATTTGGGACTCGTCATCTGGATGTACTTGCATCCGCCAGTCAGTGAGGGATGATGTTCCCACATCATCGAAGCGTCTGCATAAGAAGGCGACATGTCAACCGGAGACCGAACTCTTTGGTTCGATCAATCGATGAGAAAATCTTAAATAAGTGAATTGAATAATCAATATAACCCGTTGCACAAGAGGGTGGTTCTCGTGCCCCAAGTGGTCTAGAAGTGAATAACGCTTTGGCATTTGAAACTATGGGCACTGGGTTCGAGCCTCTGTGGGGAATGCAGGTACGTCCAGATGACGAGATGCGCATCATGGATTCCACTGCTAGTCACCACCCGCCAATTAAACTGTTCATTATTGTTCTTATTTTCTAATAAATATTCTGTTGATAGATGTCTATGTGTACTGAGCTGTTTAAATCATCATATCCATCGTTCACAATCATCAGTTTGATGTGATTCTAATATATGATTTGAATAAATTGAGAGGAACAGCGATTTTTGAAGAATAAAATGGTACCACCATTGTTTATTTCGTTGACTTCTCATCACCTGCTGCTTACAGCCCAAAAACACTGTCAAGTTTATCCACAGAAACATTTCTAATATACTTGCAGAGAGTGGTTTGGAGAAGTTGGAATCCATTGTCAACGGCTAGCCTTGTACACCATGAAGGAGTCATTTCATCTCACCGAAAGTGTTAACCACATGAACGTTTCTAATAAGTCCATGGTGTCATTTGATGAAACCTCCTTGTTCACAGAGATCTCAATCATTGAAACCATTAAGATCATTTATCAGCAGTTTGATGTTCTTCCACTCTCAGTCTTGGAACTCAAACGCCTACTACTAATTAATGTGTACCATGGATGTGTGATTTCATTTTGACAACACTCTTTACCTCCAAATAGATGGTGTAGCAATGGGAAGTCCAGTTAGTCCTGTTCTAGCAGATATATTCATGTCCAACCTTGAAAGAACAAAGTTGAAGCATGCCATCGACGAAACAACTTCCTACTGTCGATATGTTGATGACACATTTATGTTGTGTCCAACAATGAAAGTCATGCTTCCTACCTACTCAGACTATTTAACGACGTATATACAAATATTCAATTTACTATGGAACATGAAAATGATGAAAAGTTCCACACCCTTGATATTACCATGGAACGCCTAGAAGATGTTAGTCTCCAGAGGTCAATTAACCGTAAGGCTACATTGAATCGATAATACCCACATTTTAATAGCTTTTGTCCAAATAGCTTCAAGCCAGCGCTAGTCAAGATTCTATACTATATAGCTAGGAGAATATGCTGTACAGAGAAAATTAGAGGAAGAATTTATGTTTCTCGAACAGATGTTGAAAAGTAGTGGATACCCTCAAAGGTTCATCAACAAGTATGAAAGATTTGAAGTCACAAATGTAAAACAAAACACAGTGGGAAAAAAGCCAATCTACATTCAACGTGATTATAAAGGTGAAAACATTGCAGTAATGATCAAAAGAAGACTGAGTACATCAATAGCCATAGCTTATCCTACGGATAAGCTCATCCCCATCAATCGAACAACTTGCTATTTGGTGCAGTAAAAATCGATAGGTATTCTTCTCATGTTAACTCCAACTGTATATACACATTTGCATGTATCTTCAGGAGCAGTTACATTGGAAGGACAGAAAAAGAAGGGCATATCTAGGATTTTCTGAACATGTACCAAAAAGCTTATGTCTAAAGGGAACAAATGCTTTAAACATTGCCATCGCCAGGCATCTCCTTGACACGGGTCATGAGGTGGACATCGAAAAGTCGTTCAAAGTTATCAATAGTCAGGCAAAACAGCTCAATTCTCCTCAGGTTTGCTGACGGGCATTGCTAGCTGATATAGGTTCAGGTTGGAAAAGAGCCAGTGGTGGCCAAACAAAAACATGGCCTCATCAATCCATGAAATCCTTGACAGTTAAACTGAGTCAGGTAGGGAGATGCAGACTCCCGGGTTGGGGGCCTCGGGACTCTAGGAATCAATGGCTGGAGACAACAGGTAACACGGCTCAAAATCGTTGTCAATGGCGCAGATGTATTCAGTCTCTGTAATCTTTCATATTCCTTTCTACCATTACCCATTCTGTTTCACTCTTATACTTGTCAAACTCTATTGATTCTCTTCACTCATCTTCTTGTCTACCTCTGTGTGCTATTTGGAACGTGGCAACTCCAACTCCTGGACTTCGGTGCCAAGTTCTATGTTGAATCCAGACAGACAGGTTTGCTGAAGCCATTTCCATCAAGCGCCTGAAACCTGATTTATGCGTCCAGAATGAAGCGGTTATCAGTCTTTCTTTTCCGTGCCTGGTAACTGGATATTTTCATCTCTCTTTCATCTGAATGCGTAATGCTGAAATGTCTCCATTGTCTATGATTATTATGGTTCGGAAGTGGTTAATATCATATATATCATATATTAACCACTTCCGAACCATAATAATCATAGACAATGGAGACATTTCAGCATTACGCATTCAGATGAAAGAGAGATGAAAATATCCAGTTACCAGCCACGGAAAAGAAAGACTGATAACCGCTTCTTTCTGGACGCACAAATTAGGTTTCAGGTGCCTAATGGAAATGGCTTCAGCAAACTTGAGGAGAATTGAGCTGTTTTGCCTGACTATTGATAACTTTGAACGACTTTTCGACGTCCACCTCATGACCCGTGTCAAGGAGATGCCTGGCGATGGCACTGTTTAAAGCATTTGTTCCCTTTAGACATAAGCTTTTTGGTACATGTTCAGAAAATCCTAGATATGCCCTTCTTTTTCTGTCCTTCCAATGTAACTGCTCCCGAAGATACATGCAAATGTGTATATACAGTTGGAGTTAACATGAGAAGGATACCTATCGATTTTTATTGCACCAAATAGCAAGTTGTTCGATTGATGGGGATGAGCTTATCCGTAGGATCGAGTCAACTGAAAACACGTGCAATAGGAATGAATGATTCAGCACCTAGCCATCCGGACATCTAGAAAATACTACTTCCCCTTGAATGATGAATAGGAAGGAATAAAGAAAACTATCAAACGATAGTTTCGAAGTTGTGTAGTTATAATTGATGAAATGATTATTAACAATAATAAATTGTATTCGAAACTATGCCATCCACCAGTAAATAATACTGTTTCAGTAACTGTGTGATATATCTAATAAACAAGTCAATTTGGAATTACATACTACCAGACGGAATCTCAGCATAAGCATTGGAAATGAACCCAGAGACAACGGCGAACTTGATGACATCACTAATGTAGAAGGTGTGGAAAGAGGGCTAGGTACACGAGAATTGGAAGAAAGGATACATATCCAAACTACCAAAGAGAGGAGACTTAAGTCAATGCAAAATCTGGCGCGGAAGTATGCTCCCGTCCATCCCAAGCAAAATACTAAGCCGCATCATCCTGTAGAGAATCAGACACCCCACCCTGGATGAAAAACTTCGACCGGAACAGGCTGGATTCAGGAGAAACAAGTCATGTGTTGATCAAGGCGTCACACTACGGATCATCATTGAACAAAGCGTGAAATAGCAGTCACCTCTCTACCTCACTCAACTTCATCGACTTTGAAAAGGCCTTCAGCAGACAGCGTCGATCGATAGGTCATTTGGAAGCTACTTCGCTACTACGGGTCCAATCGACAACTATACATCTCATCCAACAGTTGTACGACAATGCTGCATGCCAAGTAATCCACAACGGGAAACTTACGGAAGCCTTCGAAGTGAGGACGGGAATGAGATAAGGCTGCCTACTATCACCAATGATTTTCCTGATTGCAGTAGATTGGATAATGCGACAGACAACGGGCAATGAGGAAACAGGCATTAAATGGACCCACACAAAAAACTTGAAGGATCTGGACTTCGCCGACGATATATGTCTGATTTCTCACAAACTGGAGGTGGCACAGTGGTTAGGACTCTCGCCGACCATGTACATGGTTCGGGGTTCGAGCCCACGCCGGCGCACTCCTGATATCTATGGTCGGCCTGCGAAATTTGGGCTACCGATCTCCATGTTGAAAATTCCATACTTGTACCAAAAATACAGTGTGGAATCAAGCTGTAAATCAAAAAAATATGCAAGTGAAAGGCAACAAGCTGGCAAAAGAAGCATCAAAGATAGGACTTCCTTCAAGTGAAGATATAGAAAGCAGAGGTGATGAAGATTCCTGGTCAACACCAACAGCAGCAACAACAACAGACAACAATCAGCTTAAATGGGAGGAACCTGAAAGAAACAACCTCCTTCACCTACCTCTACCTGAGAAGCATCATTTCAACTACAGGCTGACAGAACTGACGAGGATATCGAAGCGAGGATCGGAAAAGCAAGACAAGCTTTTATTACTCTCAAGTCTGTGTGGAGGTCAACAGCACTCAGCCTGATAAATAATATCCGGGTTTTCAACTCCAATGTGAAGTCAGTCAGTGCTACTCACTATACGGATCAGAGACTTGACCAGCGCGTCATAAAGAGCATCTCAAACAAACTACAAACCTTCATTAACAGTTGTCTTCGCTGAATACTCAAGATCAGATGGCCGGCCAGAAAAGATCAGCAATAGTGAGAGATCTCTGGCAATGAGCGAACCAACCCAGCAGGAACTGATCGTGCAACAAATAAGCAGGAAGAACTGGAGATGGATTGTCTATACTCTGAGAAAACAGACCATCAAATGACATCACTAGACAAGCCATTACTCGAGTGGAACCCGAAAGG